TGTAATTCGATTAGGCTAAAATATCCAAGCTCATACACAAAGAGCCATTTAGCTGTCTCTTTACCTGGCTTGAACTTTGGTTTTTCTTACAGCTTTTTGCCTATTAGTTTTCAGGTTGAAGATTCCTTTTCGTATAATAGATCAAAGCAAAATTAAAGAGTCTTACTTACATTTGCTTGCTTTCTGTCATTGCCTCAAGTGATGGACATATCACTTTTCATTTTCTTTGAAAACTAAAAATTAGCAATAACATACAAATAAAAACTAAGGAAAGGAGAAAAGAGAGAGTGAGCAAAAGACTATTTTTTGTATTTCTCACAAGCTGTGGACTTTCCTCCAAGCTTGTGGAAGTGTGTGCCAACTGTTTGTATTTTACTGACTCTGTCATTCCCCTGACCCCATTGTGTGGACTTACCTAAAAAGCAAAGCAAAAGGCAAACTGGACCTCAGAAGGCGCTCACTTTGATGCAGTTTGATGTAATTTTAGGCACTGCCTGATTTATTATTAAAAACACTCGTGTGTGTGTGTGTGTGTGTGTGTGTGTGTGTGCTGTCTTAGTTTAGTGTTGTCTTAGTTAGCTTGCTCTTCATAAAGAGACACCATGATCATGTCAACTCTTTTTTTTTTTTTTGGTTTTTCGAGACAGGGTTTCTCTGTGTAGCTTTGTGCCTTTCCTGGAACTCACTTGGTAGCCCAGGCTGGTCTCGAACTCACAGAGATCCGCCTGGCTCTGCCTCCCGAGTGCTGGGATTAAAGGTGTGCGCCACCACCGCCCGGCCATGTCAACTCTTATAAAGGAAAGCTTTTAATTGGGGTGTAGCTGACAGTTTCAGAGGTTTAGTCCATCATCGTCATGGTGTGACATGGCAATGTGCAGGCGGACATGGTGCTGGAGAAGAAGTTAAGAAGTTAAGAAGTTAATTCTCCATCTTTGATCAACAAGCAACAGGAAGTGAACTGTCTCACTGGGTGTGGTTTGAACATATATGAGACCTCAAAGCCTGCCTCCACAGTGACACACCTCCTCCAACAAGGCCATACCTACTCCAACAAATCCACATCTCCTAATAGTGTCACTCCCTTTGGGGGCAATTTTCTTTTGAACCACCACATTCCACTCTCTGGCCCCCAAAGGCTTTTAGCCATATCATAATGCAAAAATGCATTCAGCCCAACTCTAAAAGTCCCCATTGTCTATAACAGTTCTAAACTCATTTAAAAGTCTAAAGTTTGAAGTCTCTTCTGAGATTCATAGTCTCTTAACTGTAATCTCCTGTAAAATCAAAAAGGAGATCACATACTTCCAACATATAATGGCATAGGATATACATTATTGTTCTGAAATGTAGGGAAAGGAGCATGATGACGAAATACTGGGCCAAGCAAGGCTGAAAACCAGTTGGGAAAACTCCAAACTCTGCATCTCCATGTCTGATGTCAAAACGCTCTTCAGATCTCCAGCTCCTTTCAGCTTTGTTGACTGCGACACACTTCTTTCTCTTAGGCTGGTTCAACTCCCCGTTTGCAGCTTCCCTGGGCAGGTATCGCATGACTCTGGCATCTCCAACATCTTGGGTTCTCCAAGGCAATCCAGGCTTCAACTTCACAGCTTCACACAGTGGCCTCCCTAGGCCTCCATTCAGGGACACCTCTGACACATGTGTGGCCTCAGCGGCTTTCCTTAGTCACGGAGGCAAATTCCATAACCCTTTTCTTCTGTCCTTGACTCTAAAGCCAAAACCACGTGGCCTAGCCAAAACTGCCAAATGCTACTGCTTGCTGGGGCTGGAACATGGCCCCTTTGTTCAAATACATCTTCACTAGCTCTCTGTTTTCCATGGTTATCTTCACTGCCTGAGCTTGGCTGTTCTGGAACTTGCTCTGTAGACCAGGCTGGCTTCAAACTCAGAGATCTGCCGGCCTTTGCTTTCTGAGTGCTGGGATTAAAGGCGTGCAGCACCACACCCAGCTCTAAGCTTTTCTTTAATTCCTTTTCAAAAGTTGAAAATTAGCTGGGTGGAATCTTGCCCAGGGCTCACCACTCCCTTTATTTCATTTCTAAATCTGTTCATCTCCTGGAACACAGGACTTAGCTCCATTCAACTTCCTGGTGCCCCTTTTCTCCTCAAAATTTACATTTTCTTACTCCTTTTCATTATAAATCTGTATAAGAGTGACCAGTAATAACTACACAATAGAGTATGTACTAGGCTGTTTTGAGATTTCCTCTGCCATAGGAATTAATTTATATCCCTTCGCTTTAGCCTCAGGCAGACTCTTCCAATAAGGGCAAAAAGCAACCATATCTTTACCAAAATATCACAAGACTGGTGTCTAGGCCACATACTAACATTCTTCTCTTCTGAAACCTCTTGAGCCAGGCCCCCACAGTTCAGATCACACTCAACACCACTGTCTTCCATGCTCCTACTAGGATGGCCCATTAAGCAGCACTTAAAGTATTCAACTGCTTCCCTAACCCAAAGAAAGTCCAAATTCCTCCCAACAAAAACATGGTCAGGCCTATCTCAGCAACACCCTACTCTTGATACCAACTTCTGTCTTAGTTTGGGTTTCTATTGCTGTGAAGAGATGCCACGACCATGTCAACTCTTATAAATAGACACATTTAACTGGGGTGGCTCACTTACAGTTTCAGAGGTTTAGTCCATTATCGTCATGGTGGGACATGGCAATGTGCAGGCAGACAGGGTGCTGGAGAAGAAGATGAGAATCTCACATCTTTGATCCACAGGCAACAGGAGGTGAGCTATGTCACTGAGTGTGACTTGAGAATGTGAGACCTCAAAGCCCACCTCTACAGTGACACACTTTCCTCCACACCTACTCCAACAAGGCCACACCTCCTAATAGTGTCACTCCCTTTGGGGGCCATTTTCTTTCAAACCACCACAAGTGCTATTTTTGAATACTGTTGCTCATTTCTTCTCTCACATAATCCTGGTATGCCTGAGACATAGATACTGCTTTCTCTGTTACACAGATGGAAGATGAAATATCTCTAAGATCAGAGAGGTTAAGTAATTTGCCCCAGGCCATACCACAAGAAATCATGATGGAATTAAGCAATGCACACTTATATCTAAACTGGGGTGACTCTGACTGCTTCTAGATGCAGGTCAGTCTCACAGATTAGAATTCTAATTTAGTCAAACCTTGAAAAACAAGGTACTTTTAGCTGTGGCACTTGTGAGGGTAATCCACCTGCTCTTGTATATTTGGACAGTGTGCTTTGGGCCTCCCTCTTCCTATCGGCCTCCTCTGTGGTGAGTTAGATCTCAGTGCCCTCCTGCCGGCTCTCCAGTTCTCTCTCTATAGAAGAGGGTGAGCTTTTAGAACTAACCTCATTTGTTCCCAACCCTGGCCCCAATATGTGACCACCAGTGCCAGCAACTACAGGAGATCATCTCCACTGCCTTCTTCCAGCTGTTCTAGCCTTCGGAAGGACACTGGAAATCCATCTTATATTATATACCTGAGTAGTAAGGAAAATAATAGCATCACCTGAGCCCATGGAGTTTATCTAAATCTACTTGTCGGCTATAACACAACTGCTCTCCTCCCTTCAGTTCTCCTAAGTGGAGAAACTGAGGACTACTCAGAGGAGCTGGGTAGCTTGCGCAAGACTGCATAGCTAAGACATGAATCTAGTCTTGTATGAAGGAGGAGAATTATCTCAGCGCACTTCAGTGAGTGCTGCTAGGCCTTTTCCAGTGATCTCCACTCTCCATCTTTATTAGTTATCTGAAAAAAATTCCAGTCTATGAAAATATGAGAGGCTAGAACAGTGGACACTTATGTACTCTTCATTCACACCCATTAACTCTCAGAATTTGGTTACTCCTGATGTTGAATATTTTACAACGCTCAGGGAGAACCTTATTTCCTTCCAGGATGTGAGAGTGAGCAAAAGTCTTCTTGAGGAGCCATATGCCCATGTGTTTGGCCCTAATAATCCAAGTCATTACTTCTGGGGGTGTCGTAAGTCAGGGCTGAAGAGAAAATATCCCAGGTAGCAGTAAGACATACATTTCATGCTGTTTTTCTTTTAAAAGCTGCATGCGTGTGCGCGCAGACACACACACACACACACACACACACACACATGCACGCCCACTTATTACACTTTTCTTACTCAACTTGATTTATTAATTAAACTTTATCACTAGTATATGTGTAGGAAATACATTATTTAGGGTTTGATGTTATCTTTTGGCTTTTGTAATCCATCTAAGTCTCAGAATGTATCTCCCATAGATAAACGGAGACTTCTTCAATGATAACAATGACAGTCTCAGAATGTGTCTCTCATGGATAGACAGAGACTCCTTCAATGGTCACAATGACAGCAGGATGACAGTTAGCATGTAGTCAGGGCGATGGAAGTGCTGTGCAGTCTCTTAAGTGCTGTGTGTACAGTATCTCACTTAATTCTCACATCTCCTATGTGAAGTGGAAACCATCACGGTCTCTACTTTTAGACAAGGAAACTGAAGAAGATTAAACAATCTCCTGGTGTCCACAGCAAGGAGCAGCCATACCCTAGATCTCACGGTCTTCACTACCAAGCTACACTATCTCCCCACTACATGGGTGGTGACTGAGGCTAGAAGTCAACTCCTGACATATGCTTGGGACAACTGAAACTTCTGGACCAGACAGTGGTTCCCTGCAGATTTCTGTCTAGCACTGAGACATAATTAAATAACTTACATTGATGTTAAACTTGTAGGACACTGGAACAGCCCGTCTAATGGCTACAAATGTAAGAAGATCACATCTAAGCTTATATTCATGAATATTTAAAAGTCCTAATTAACAACAGCTGAAAGCTCCAGACGTTTTTATTTTTAAAGGGGGCTGTGTATATTTTACATTTGGTTAACAGCAATACCTGCTATAGAAATTAGATGACCAGCTCTTCCAGAATATACAGCAACTGTCTCTACTTTTGCAGTGCCAGGCTTAGAAGATTTACGGTAAACTATGTTTCCAAGGAGGTCAGTACAAAAAGCCAGACAGGCAGTTTCTGGGTCAGACCAGTTTTCCATCCATCGAAGTGGCTTCTGTTTTCTCCAGATGCTTATCACTAAGAGGCTCCCAAAAGGCTATTTTTCTGCTTACCCTGCCCCTCTGGTGTTTGGTGGTGTTGCTAACGGACAAGGTTAAAATGAACTGGTCATCTGAGAGTCATGGAAAACATGGAACCAAGACTTAAGCAGGCCCCCTATTTTCGTTGTGAAAAGGGACCTGATTGGGTTCCTGTGTGCCAGAAGTGTGAAACCTGTGTCTTAGCGTGGAAGATCTTTGCTACCAAAGAGTGGTTCAGGAGGGTCAGTGACATATCCCAGAGGAGGTTTCTAGTGAGCATCCTGGGGCAGTTAAATAGCCTGTATTTGTTACACTACTTCCAGAATATCCTACAGACCACCCAGGGGAAGGATTTCATCTATAACAGGTCCCGGATCAAATTCATCAGGAAGGAAGGGAAGGAGGACGTTGTGAAGTCTTCCTTGAACCAAATGCTGGACAAAACGGTGGAGCAGAAGATGAAGGAGATCCTGTACTGGTTCGGTAACAGCACTCACCGGACTAAGGCCAACTACACGCTCCTGCTGCTGCAGATGTGTGACTCCAAGTTACTGCTCACTGCTGCCGACGTGATCCGAGTCCTCTTCATGAAGGAGTGGAACAATATCTCAGGTGAGAGCCGAGGGCCCCGGGGACCAGTGCGCAGGCAGACTTGGGAGGACAGTGACTACCCACAGTGCACTTTGTCTGTGAACCTTGTCCCGAGGACACCCAACCGGTTACCAAAGGAGGCACTGATGAGTGGGACTTCATTCTAGAAAACTACTCGCTGACCAACACAGAAGGAAGGACAATCCTTTCAACCCTGGGGACTGAACACAGCTTTCTGTCTGCCCCAGGCCCAGGAATGACTGGCCCCAGGCTCTGGCCATGGCAAGCTGTTGTCATCTCTTCCTGGTACTAGGCTTTGACTGGGTGTAGGAGGGATGTGACGACGGGGAAACTATTTTGCTTCTCAGCTGCTACAGGCAGAAGCCAAGCCAAATAACACAATTGACAGCTTAAAAAAGTTTCATCTTACCATGTTTCTTGCTTAAGCATGAAACCAAATTTTAATAAGATGCTTTAGAGGCCCACATGTGGCTAATAGTCCGAAATTGCCCAGGGCAATTTCATAAGCAGTGGTTTGCATCTGAGTCTCCAACAGGGCTTGATAAAATAAACTGTGGGCCTCTGCCAGAGTCTGGCCCAGCAGCTGGTCTGAGGTGATGTCTGGTGGGCCTGAGGGGTGCAGGTGTCTGTTTCTGGCTGATACAGACATTGCTGGACCTTGCTGAGAACCTCCTTGGTCCTGAGTATTGACAGGAAAGGCTTGGAAGCAAAAGAAACCAGAAGAGAGGGCAGCAACTTTGGACTAGGAGGGTCCCTGAGTGGAAAGGCTGAGGGAAATTAGGGAATGGAGAAGAGGTTTAGCCAGGGGTGGGGAGGAGAGCTGGAGGCACGCACGACCTTGCAGAGGAATTTTGGAGTTTGAGCTCTGGAAGGTGGGTAATTCCTGTCCCCAAAGGATGTTTGACTTGTGGTCCTTCTGTAGGCTAATGGAGAACCGTCCCCAATTTAGAGACAGGGTCTTCTTTTCTTGGCTAGCCTAGAGACTCAACAGTATTCCTCCTCAGTCTCCTGAGTGCTGGGATTACTTATAGGCATGCACCACCATTCATGACTTTCAAAGAAATTTCAAAGCTAGATGACCTAGGATGCAATTAAATCCTCACACATACCAACTGGCTTTCTTTCTTTCTTTTCTTTTTTCTTTTCCTCCCTTCCTTCTTCCCTCCCTCCCTTCCTTCCATTCTCGCTCTCTCCTTCCTTCCTTCTTTCCTGCCTTCTTTTTTTCTTTCTTTCCCTTCTTCCTTCCTTTATTTTTATTTTTATTTTATTTTATTTTTGGTTTTTTGAGACTGTGTAGCTTTGCGCCTTTCCTGGAACTTGCTTTGTAGACCAGGCTGGCCTCAAACTCACAGAGATCCGCCTGACTCTGCCTCCCAAGTGCTGGGATTAAAGGCGTGTGCCACTACCACCTGGCCCCTTATTTTGAAAGATGTGTTTATTTTTAGTTTGTTGTTTTGCCTACAGATATGTATGTGTTTCCTGTGAATGTCTGATGCCTGTGGAGACCAAATGAGGGTGCCAGATCCCCTGGAACTGGAGTCACAAAATGTTGTGCGCAGCCATGTGGATGTGAGGAACTGAACCTGCCTCCTCCTCTGCAAGAGCAACCAGTGCTCTTAGCAACTGAGCCATCTCTCCAGCCCCTCTCTTTGTATCTCTGGTATCAAAGATATAAAGGATGATACAGCTGAGAAAAAAAATGAGAGAATCCAAGTGCATTAAAACTAAGTTAGGTTAGTGTGCTGCTCCCTAAGTTTCTAATAAAGAAACCAAAGTCTGGGGAATCTGAGCCTCGGGGCTTGGCCATCCAGCAGAAAAGCCAGCATCTGCCCGCAAAACGTTTCACTGCACCCTGCAATGTGCATGCATATCACCGGTTCCCTTTCCCCGGCCCCATCCCATGCTGTAGGCTCGACTATTTACACTGGAGAGACCCCAGAGGAGAGTGTGGGGACCCCACACTCTCCTCTGAACTCCAAGGGCCATCTGCACTCTGGTACACATATCTCCATACAGACACACAGTTAAAAATGATAAAAATAGATATTTCTTAAAAGGTAACATTTCTAATCTGCTGCGAGGGCAGTTACACGCTGAAGGAAATCAGCGAGAGCTTCAGAGAGCCATCCTTCCTGCAGCAGGTCCTTCCACGGCTCCCCCAACTCTCTCCTTGAGTACAGAATGCTAGCAACATCTGCCGGGGAGACTGGCCGGCAGAGCCCCGGCGGCGGAGGCTCTCTGAGACTTTTACATGGAAACTCAGATGCCTTGAGTAAAACCAACAAGCCCCTTGTTTGTGCTGCACGTATGCTTCTCTCTCTGTCTCTGTCTGTCTGTCTGTCTGTCTCTCTTTCTCTGTGGGTGTTGATTCCAGGACCTCAATATCCATAGATGCTCAAGTTCTTCTTAATATAAAATAATCTAATGTTTGCACAAGCCTCCCGGGAATGTTCAATTGCCTCCAGTTCCTTTTTAAACCCGACTACAGACCACATGTGTGGTAGATACTATGTTGTACTGTGCATGTCAGGCACTAGTGACCCAAACTCTGTGCCTATCTGCTACAGACACGGGTTTCTTACTTTTGTTTTATTTTTTTTAATTTTCAATTAAAGGTTGATTGAATTTGAGAGCTTCCGAAAACTGGCTGTATTTAAACCAAATGAGGGAAAAAAAAAAAAAAAAAACAAGGCCCTTTTCTCTCTGCTTCATTTCCCTCTCTACACCTGCTTCAGGAGCAAACTTGTCTTGGTTTTTGTTCACCAGGCCTCCATCAAGACTCCGATGATATCGTGTTTTTCCCCGAGAAAAGCTACCACCCCGCATCTGACACTTCATACGTCTCTTGGTCAGCTAGGCCCAAACCCATGTCATTCCCGATGTCCAAACCTAAAAGTGGGACGGAAAATGAGAGAGAAGCAACCGCTGGTAAGTCAGGTTCTGCCGAGAAACCTAACATAGCACCAGATGAGTTAGACGGCTCGCCCTACAGGCTTTTTTGTTTTGTTTTGTTTTGAACTTTTGGTGGGTCTTTTGTGACTTGATGGCATCCTGTGTCAGAGAACATCTGCCCTTACATACTTTGAATTAAGATTTCTTTTTTTCTTTTTTTTATTATATTTTTTAATGGTTATGAGGTAGCAAAAACATTTTTGTTGTGGCTTTCTGAGTCAGTCTTATTATGTATCCTGGCTGGTCTTGAACCCATGATCCTCCTTGATGAACCTTCTTATCACAATCATAGGCACGTGGCAGCATGACATTATTTTTACTTATGATGACTTTTCCAGGATGTGACCTCACATGACATCAAAGGGCTCCTGTATATGAGGCTGGGAAATCTCAGTGGAGTTGGAGGCACTGGCAAGGCCTTAGAAGCTGGGGACGTCAGCTGTGAACACTACCCTTCACTTAGCATTATGTGTTGGAGCCGGGTAGTGGTGACACATGCCTTTAATCCCAGCGCTCGGGAGGCAGAGCCAGGCGGATCTCTATGAGTTCGAGGCCAGCCTGGTCTACAGAGCAAGATCCAGGACAGGCACCAAAACTACACAGAGAAACCCTGTCTCAAACAAACAAACAAACAAACAAACAAACAAACAAAGCATTATGTGTTGGGCTCTTGGATTTTTTATTTTCTCATTTAATTCTCACAGCTGGTAAGGCCAGAAGGATAAAAACCGGTCAGTATTACAACTGATGCTCATGCTTTCCCTTCCGTGGACTCTCTAAGACACTCCTGAAAACAGATCAGAAAGGAACTTTCCAGATCCTCTCTCGATTGTTCCCTCTACTCTAGGCCTCAGTGTACTCTCTGTCTCCTGAGGTCTGGTATGGTACATGGTGGCCCTCTAACCTGGCAATTTTAACTTATCATTCTTCCCTCTTTTTAAATTGTTTCAGTTTTCCTTCACCAGAGCAGTGTGTGTGTGTGTGTAGATACTGAGTGGGTGCACGCAGAGGCCAGAGGATTTTAATTGTTCTCCATTTTATTTATTTATTTGTTTGGTTGGTTGGTTTTTCAAGACAGGGTTTCTCTGTATAGCTTTGGCGCCTTTCCTGGAACTCACTCTGTAGCCCAGGCTGGCCTTAAACTCACAGAGATCCACCTGCCTCTGCCTCCTGCGTGCTGGGATTAAAGGCGTGCACCACTGCTGCCCTGCTTCTATTTTACTTTTTGAGGCAGGCTTTCTCACAGAACTGGGAGCTGAGCTCCAGGGGTCTTTCTATTTCTGCTCTCCCCAGGGCTGGGGTTACAGGCGCAGTGCATTACTGTGCCTGGCTTTTAAGTTGGTGCTTGGAATCAAAACTCAGGCCATTAGTCTGTGCAGCAAGCAGTTTATGGACTGATCTCTCTCTCATTGAAGCATTCTTATAGGAAACTCCAGACAAGATACCATTTCAGTCTTCACTACTATAAACATCTGGAGCTGAAAAGTACTTGTATGTTTGAATCAGGAGGTTCTGTTTTGGTGGGGAAAGACATTGATTAGAAGATTCAGTGGCCCAAGGGTTTTATTATTTATGAAGCTTTATTTGGGGGCAAGTTTTGCGGTGGATTTGTTTGGGGACTAGAGTTACTGCAGATTCAACTCAACCATCTACCCTTCTTTGGCTTTGCTCTAGAGGAAAAAGGGAAGAGTTCGCTCCAGTGTATTTCTGAGATGAATAAACAATTTTCTGGAAAAGCGGGTATATTCAGACTGGGAGACGATCCATGCCACCTGCTGCTGAGCCTGGATGATGTCCAAGTCCTGTCTTCTGGGTCCAGCAAACATCGGGACTTTATACGTTACCTGCCCCTCCACCTCTCCAAGTACATTCTAAGTATGTTGGGCACATGAAGGGACTGGGCAGAGATTTCCCAGCTGGGCCCAGCTCTGGGGGTTTCTGGGTCCATCCTCTTTCTTTTTCTCTCAGGAATGCTGGATAAGAACAGTCTGAACCGGTGTTCTTTTGTGAGTCAGCACTGGGCCGCTCTGACCCAGCAGGTCAAGCTGGACCTGTCCATGCACTCCTTCCTTCAGAACCAGATTTCTCTCCTGCAGGTACTTTGGGTCTGAAAGGGGTGTGTCTGGGTGTGAAGCTTTGTTTCCATAGGAAGGTTGGACATTTGTGTCTCCCTGGTAGAGCCCCAAATGGCTTCCTATCCACATGGGCAGCCACTCCCTGGGGCTCCGGCCTCCCTGTGGGTCAACATCTGTCTTTCCATTGTCATTGTGCTCAGTACAAATGACAAATACAGAAACCTTTCAGGTGGTGGGATGGTTCAGTGGGTGGAGGTACCTGCTACCAAGCCCGATGACTTGAGTTTGATCTCCTAAACCCATTTGTTGAAAGGAGAGAACAAATTCCTCTGAGTTGTCCTCCAATCACACGTGTGCTGGTGTAGATGTGCCCGTTCCCTATATACACATACACACAAAATAAACAAGTGGACAAAAAAAAAATCCTTTTTAAACAGAAATCTTTCAGGAACACAGGGGCTTCCTGACCCTCTGAGGGCTGGGGCTCCAGCCCAATAGCAAACGGTGTGCTTGTCTAGCATGTGCGAAGCTCTGGGAACTTTCCTTTGTGAAATGGTTGAACGTCATTAACTCACGAACGCATCGCCTCACCTAGTGGAGAGAACACAATACTTTGCCTTTTCAAGAGTATGATCTATTGTCATTATCTACTGTGAAATGATCACACAATAGATCTCTTGAATCACCATCTCTAGAATCGCAAGATCCCAAACCGAACCAAACTTGAGAGGCAGAGAATTCTCCCTCTGCACAGAGTCATAGTGGCTTCTACAACCAGAAAGTCACCGATGAACTTCTGAATCAGCTTCGAGCTACCCACTTACTCACAAGGCCCAAACGCAGTGGGTTTAGGTGACCAAGAAGTTCTCTCCAACAGTAAGCACCCGAGCATTCCCACCTTTGTTCCTTACCTGAGACCTAGCCCTGAACCCTGGAGTTCAGGCAGTGCCAAAGGGAGAGAGGCAGGCACAGTTAGCAGACCACTGTCACGACCGCTCCCCTCCCCTGGGCTTCCTGCCTGGCATTTGACATTCGCCATCCTTCTTGATTTGTCCCCACACAATCCTGGTAAAACTGGCCAGGCTTGGGCCTTCAGGGTTCGACCATCTTCAGATTGCATCAAGAACTGGTTTCCCCCCTTTCTCCTGGAGAGTAGAAATGAAGAGGAGTCATTTCGTGTGTGTGTGTGTGTGTGTGTGTGTGTGTGTGTGTGTGTGTGTGTGTGTTTTAAATATGTATTTAAGGCTGCGGATGCAGCTCAGTAGTAGAGTGGCTGGTTCAACCCCCAGCACCACAAAATATTTTTCTTGAGATGATAAATAGCATTGTATGCATTTATCATGCAGGATATGATGTTTTGAAGTTTGTGTGCATTGTGGGATGGTTAAATGCCACTAATGAGTGAATCACTTCACCCTGGAGAGAGAGCACTCAGCTTTGCATTTTCAGGAATACAATATATCTTCATTAGCTACTGTGGACTTACCATACAATAGATCCCTTGAACTTCCTCCTGTCTAACTGTGATTACGTGCCCTTTGACCACCACCTCTGCCCCCTCCCCACCCGGGAACCACCTCAGTCTCTGGTGATCACTATTCTTTATGCTTTTTTTGAGATCGCCTTTGTTAGGTTCCACACAAGTGAGATCATGATTTGTCTCCATGTGCCTGGTTTATTTCACCCAACATAGTGTCCTCTACTTCCCTGCACATTGTTGCAGATGACGGGATTTCCTTCGTATTTACGACTTGTCGTATTCCATTGTGGGCATGCACACATGCACACACACACAGAGTTTTGTCTTTATTCTTCTTTAACGGATGTTTACTTAATTTTATATTTTAGCTATTGTGGATAGTATGATAATATACACGTGAGTACAAATGTTTTTCTTTTTCTTTCCCAAACCACACAGGGATCCTACACAAGGGGGATAGATCCTAATTATGCCAGCAAAGTCTCTATCCCAGTTCCTAAAATAGTCAATGATGGGAAGCGTTCACGGTCAAAAAATCAGAAGTGGAAGCTGAGAACAAAGGTGGGTTTCATGTCTGGGGTGAGGAGCTGAAAGTGTGGTGTTCCTGTCGACCCTGGAAGGTTGACATCCACAAACAAGGACAGAGACTCCTGGCAGGTACCACTCTCTGAAGGAGACGAAAGCTCTGTGTTGCTGCCCACATACAAGTCATCCCTTCTATATAAGCCTTGACATCCTCCTCTGCTGGAGGAGTGGAATTCATTGGGTTGTCCTCTCAGGGGTCTACATCAGTGGCTTTAAGTCATCTATGGTGATTTCAGAGGCTGGGAGCAGGGTCAGCCATGCCTCGGACTCCCCATTGGCCTAGGAGTCCACACACCTCAAGGCTACTTGAGCCTGCTGCTTTGGATTGAGAAGGGCACATAAAGAGAGCTAATGCTTGTCTAGAATGCCAGCTTCCTTGCCTCACTACTGGGCTTGTGCTGCTGTTTCATGGAGGGGAGGATCAGTTACCTCTAGCTCTCCTCGTCAGCTCTTAGGCATTAATTAATATAGAACAAAGGGCAGAAAACTGGAGCATTGTGCATTAACTATCCAGGCAGTGTAGGTACCCCCAAGACCATGAGATGTCTAGTCCATCCGCTCTGTTGATGTTCCATTTCTTCTGGAATCTATTCAGTTGGTACTAAAAGGATACTTTAATGAGGGGTGGTTTGACTTGGGTGCCCATAGGGAACCTGTGGAGGCTAATTTAGAGAAGATTTACCCCATGTGTGTGTAGGGCCAGGCAGAGGACACAGAGAGAGGGGGTGGCCTGTAAAGGATACTGAGACCGATGCACTGAGAGGCTGCTGCCCTCCCAAAGGCCGGGTAGCTACGCAGCTCCAGCTAATTATGCCATTGAGGACTGTGGAATCTGACCTCCCAGACGATTTGAATTTCCAGGAGAAGGGAAAACACAGAGTTATGTGAAGTCTCTTGTATTGCCAGGTGTGGTGGCACACACCTGAAATCTCAGCCGAGGCAGGAGGATTGCCAAGGCTACATCGTGAGCTCCCAGCCAGCTTGACCTGGCTCAGAAACAAATACAAAAACCAACAGATGGAACCTCTTGTCTTTTTTAAAAATGATAGCTGTTTTCACAAACAACGTAAGCTAAGAAAAGACATTTGTGAATCTTATTTACCTGCAAGTTTTTATCTCCAAGTTGGTTCATCTATCTGTTTTGTCAATAAAGAAACTGAGGGTCAGAAAGCTCAAGGACCTCCAGCCAGTTGAGTGACAGAGGCACATGTTAAACATGGACACACAGACACATACAGACACACACACACAGACACACACACACACACACACACACCTTTTCTAAGGCTCTTTTATGTCTAACAAGCTCCACGGGCCCTGGAGATCAGGCAGGCTTGCAGATTCTTCTGGAGCAAGACTTTTAGGTGAGCATCTCTGTGTGGTTAAAGCTCAAGAAGCATGAGCAGAGGGGTGAAGGCATCTGAGCAAGAGTCCAGGACATGGAGAAGGAGGAGGACGCTAGGTCTGAACGAGACTTCCTGTCTGGGGCAAACACGATGCGGCTTCGCTCTCTCGACAGTCTCACTTTCTTTCTTGCATGTTGAGCGCGTCTGCTTCCCAGCCTTCCCTGAGGGCTGGGGAGACGGATGGAAGTGGAAGTTCAGTTCAGTCTTCTGCACCAGAATTTTTCATGCCTGGCAGGTTGGAGCCATTCAGAAATGGTGTGGTGAATGGCTGGAGGGAAGGAAGGTGCGAAGCGGGAAGAAAGGATGGAAAGAAGGGAAGGAGGAGAAATGAGACACACAGGGCATCACCCCTACTGAGACTGATAAAACTCATTTTCCCTCCCCGAGTCTCCGATATGTCACCTGTCAGGTGATAAGAGTACTGTGCTAGCAAGTGGTCTGCTTTATGAGTCTGCAAGGACAAGGTCAGGTGTCTATGAGCACTGTTCTCAAGTGTACCAAGTGCAGCACAGTTTCACCTGTGGTGGATGTCCTGGTGTGTTCTGTGCTATTGGGTACCTGGACTAGAAATGCAACATCCCGATTTTGTGAGATGGTTGGTCAAAGGCGGCTGTAATTTGATCTATGACCATGCCTAGGGGAGCATGTCCTTGCGAGCATGTCTGTGTGAGCTTGCCTGTGCGAGCATGTTCATGCGAGCATTTCTGTGTGAACATGACCATGTGAGCATGTCTGTGTGAGCCTGTCCATATGAGTATGTCTGTGTGAGCATGCCCGTGTGAGCATGTCTGTGTGAGCATGTCCATGTGATGCAGTCTGTGTGAGCATGCCCGTGTGAGCATACCCATGTGAGCTTGCTCATGTGAGCTCATTTTCAGTAAAGTTGCGCCCCAGGCAGTACTTGGGATTCAGCCATGAAAGTGTATAGAGCTGAACTGTAGAAAATCTCTTGATCTCTTCTTTAGAATGATTACAACTTGTGGAATGCATACCAGAACCAGGAGACCCAGCTGGTGCAGATGGAGGAGAGGAACGTTTTCTGTGGCACCTACAACATCCGCATTCTCTCTGACACGTAAGCACCGGCGAGAGAAGTTAGATCTTTAGGGACCTTTGAAGTACTCCAACTGGCACTTTAGGCGTTTCTAGACTTCCACTGACTTGGGAAGGCAGAGCTCCTCCACTTAGGCTCCGGGTCTGAACCAGCTCGCCTAAGATCCTGGGTGAACAACAAATCTGCGCCATTCTCCTCAGCATGGGACACCCTCATGCATTTTAGATATTCTGACCAAAAAACAAACAAACAAACAAACAAAACAAACAAAAAAACCCTTTTGTATAGATGACACATGTGAAATCTTTGGCTCTTTGAAATTTCACTATTGTCTTACTCCAACTTAGGAGCTAATACATGGAGAAAGGTCCTATAAGTCCCAGCCAGTGTAGAGAGAAATAAAGTCCCCTGTAATTGTGCCGCCAAGAGCCAGCCACCATTAATATTTGTCTTAGGTAGGGTTACTGTCGGTGTGAAGAAACACCATGACCAAAAGCCACCTGGGGAGGAAAGGGTTTATTTAGCTTACATATCCTGAATCACAGTCCATCGAGGGAAACCAAGGCAGGAACTCAAACTGGGCAGGAACCTGGAGGCAGGAGCTGATGCAGAGGCCATGGAGGAGAGTCACTTACTGGCTTGCTCCTCCAGGCTTGCTCAGCCTGCTTCCTTATAGAACCCGGGACCACCAGCCCAGGGGTGGTCCCACTTACAATGAGTTAGGCCTTTTTGAATCAATCACTAATTAAGAAAATTCCCTGCTGGCTTGCCTCCGGCCCTGTCTTTATGGAGGCAATTTCAGTTGAAGTTCCCTCCTCTCAGATGGCTCTAGCTAATTTCAACTTGACATAAACACCCAGAACAGTGTCTTTGAACACAGAACATGTACTTGAAGGAAATGGGATTATACTATACATTTCTGTAACATATTACAGCAAAACACTCTGGTATCTATTTTAAATATGAAAATGTATTTATAATAATTGTACCATGTGACATCATTTGGATATGCCACAAGAAGTCTTGCTTGTTTATTTATTTATTTATTTATTTATTTATTTATTTTGGTAAGGCTGGGGATGGAACATGGCACCTCACACATGCTAGGCCTGTGTGCACCTGCGACTGAGGTGTAACCCCAGCCCCAAGAAAGCATTTTTTTTTTTTTTTTTTGGTTTTTCGAGACAGGGTTTCTCTGTGTAGCTTTGCACCTTTCCTGGAACTCACTTGGTAGCCCAGGCTGGCCTCGAACTCACAGAGATCTGCCTGCCTCTGTCTCCCGAGTGCTGGGATTAAAGGCGTGCGCCACCACCGCCCAGCCCAAGAAAGTATTTTAATAGTTTACGGGCCCAAGAAAGTATTTTAATAGTTTACGTTTTGCCATACTTTTGGCCTAGGTCCTTTCTCTTTATTCACAAGGTTCTGTAGAGGCTGCCTGTATTTTATTTTCAGTCTGTGTGGGATAGTTTTACTAACTGTTTGGTGACGGCTCCTCTTCAGATGTGTGTGTGTGTGTGGGGGGGGGGAGGGTGTTGCCCCATAGATATGACACAAGGAATCAGGAGATAAATACCAAGAACTTCTCCTTGTCAAAGTGATTTTTGCCTTCCTATTTGCTGTAACATTGCCTCCTTACCGTGCGGCCACGGTGTACTTAATGACACTGTCCTCTTTCACAATTAAGGACGGCTCTACTTGGACAAATTATTTGGTCATCCTGTTCATAATACCCAATTGTATAATAGTTTTCTGGTTGGGAAATCAATTCATCTCACCTGGCAGTAGAACGACTATAAAGCTCACAGTGAGCAAGGGCCACAGCACATTCTTGTTTATTGTCGGTGGTACTTATTGGCATAGAACTCCAATCCTAAGACCTGCTTCTTAGATGCTGGCCATCTAAGTAAGACAGGAAGGGGAAATTCAGTGCATATGGGACTTCCCATATTCCTCTGAAGTTGTCTATGAGAAACCGACTTCCATGGTCAATTAAGTTTGGGAACTGTCACTCAGTCTAGTCCACCTTTGGGGAATTACACACACACACACACACACACACACACACACACACACACACACACACACACACACATTATAAATTTACCCATGTCTTAAGGGTTTTATCCTCCTTGGCATAGATTTCTGTGGTAGAGGCAGGGATCATCAGTTCCCATTATCACTTGGCCTTGCCTTCTGAAAGTCCCTGCATTTCCTATTATTCCACCAATGTAGGCAAAGTAAGGTGTGGTGGAAGCCCAGGAAGACACTAAGTCTTCTTTCCTATAATCCATCCCCTCCGCATCCTGAAACCCAGGAAGGACCAAAACAGGATCATTCACTATAGCGGGGGTGATTTGATGGCTGTCTCATCCAATCGGAAGATCCACCTTCTGAACATCATGGAAGCCAAGGAGTTGCCCATCGAGTTCCGAGGCCATGCTGGCAGCGTCAGGGCTCTCTTCCTGGCTGAGGAGGAGAACATTCTCTTCAGTGGGAGTTACGACCTGAGTATCAGGTGAGAGGCACAAGGTCATGACCCTTGTCCTGCTTAGTGCCAGCAAAAATGAGGCTTTTGTGAGAAGCACGCACGGCATGCTTCTTCCATTTTGTATTTATTTACAGGTTGTCTTTTATTACATTAGTTCTAGAATATCTATAAAAGTAAATTTTTTGCAAGATAAAACCCAAGATTTTATTTACTGTTTAAACTTTGAAATAGATTTGTAAGTTAGCAGATGTTGGCACTGAAAATCAGAAATTTTCTTTCTTTTTTTTTTCTTTTCTTTTTTTAAAAAAATATTCTTAAAGATGTAATTTATATTTTTAAAAAAGTAAATTCCTTCAAGGGAAATCAGTTTCTTTTAAATGGGTGGGAAATATAATGTGGAAGCAAAATCATGTTTAAATTGTATATATTCATATATTTTAGTTTTAGAGATTTAAAAAATTTAAAAATTGTGTGTGTGTGTGTGTGTGTGTGTGTGTGTGTGTGTGTGTGTGTGTGTGCCTATGGATGGGTATACGGATATGAGCACAGTTGCCCTTGGAGGCTAGAACAAGGTGTGGGATGCCCGGGAGCTAGATTTACAGACCATGGTGAGCTGTCTGGTGTGGGTGCAGGGAACTGACCTTGGGCTAATGGCTGGGTCATCCTTTCAGCCATTTTAAAGAATGTAATGAACACTCCTGCTCAGACCAGGAAAGAGTCCTTCCCTGACCTCTGAGTCATTTGTCCTCATTTCTTTTTTTTTTTTTTTTTTTTTTTTTCAGACAGGGTAACATTGCCAAAGTTTTATATTGATTATTCTCTTGTATTTCTTCATAGCTTTTTCTTCTTGTTTATATATTTTCAAAATATTTACTTGTACCCACGTTTCAAGTCAAAACAAATAGAGTTGTACTTTGAAAAGACTTGGTTCTTGCCCTGAATTGATTTAAGAGTCACCATATGATGTGTACAGCACTCATAGCGTATTTGAGTGGGGGCACAGTGTTTCCCTGGGTGAATATCTGTGCGGAAGAATATTTGTGTTATTTCTGGTGTTTAGCCCAAGAGTGCTGCCACAGATGACCTTGGCTACACCATCTGGTGCCTGTGTGCATGAGCTCTGGGTTAGGTTTTTCTTAAGGGTCTCGCTGTGTAGCCAGGCTAGACTCGTACTCAAGGTAACCTTCCTGCCTTAGCCTCCTGAACGCTGGGACTATAGGCATGCGACATCCCATCTGGCTTTGTGGTGTTTTCCCTAACGCCTTATCTTGTTCGACTTTTGCTTTCAGATCTTCAGCCTACCTAAAACTCATCCTTGTTATGACCTCCTATTGTTTTAAGAGACTTTTCATTTGTGTCCCCAACCGTCCCAGCACCATTTGTGAAAAAGAATGTCCTCTTGTATGGCTGGCTGTGTCCTAAGACTTGCATCTCTATCTTGCCATTTCTGGGCTCGAGGTTCTACTTCAGTTTTCTTTTTGTCTGTCTTTGCTCAACAAGGTTTTAATGACTTTGGTTTCTTAAAACTTCATATCTGGTAGGGCAAGTCCTGATCTCATCCATCCTGTGGCTCTTCTCTGACTTGGGTTTGGTTTGGTTTATTTTCAGTTTTGTTTTTGGGCATTAGGGAAAGGGAAATGAGCTGCCTGGAACATTCCAGTTCACACCATCTGGTCATTATTGGTCTGCACAAGGCTTCATTTCTGGTTTTATTTATCTGTTACTCCATCTCATCTCTACCTCTACCTCCCCTCCCACTCCTCAGGGTGCTGTCTAATCTCTGGCCCTAGCCCTAGTGTTAGGGACGGAACCTAGGACTTCCCAAATGCAAGGCACTGAGTCGAGTTGCACACCCTCCTACTCTTTCTCAATGTGTATCCACCTTTCCCTCTGAGACAGAGTGTATTACTGGCCTGGAACTCACCTAGCAGGCTAGCCTGACTGGTCAGTAAACCCCAGGGATCTGCCACCTCCCCAACACTCACACTACAAACACAGATCACCATGTCAGGCTTTGTATTATGTGGGTTTTGGGGGTCAGAGTCAGGCCCTTGCCTTTCTTACTGAGTTATCCCCCAATCCCCTTCTTTGTTGTTTAAAATTCCTTATAACAGTCTTGTACACTCTTATTAAAACTCATAATTCTATTTGATTCTGAATGCCATCATAGCCTTGTGTTTTCAAATTGGTTATTGATAGACAGAGGAATGGTTTTGAGTTTTATAAGTTGATCTGTGTCCAGCAGACTTGCTCACCTCTGTTACTAGTCCTAAAGTGCACACAGTGCTGATTTGGATTTTCAATGAGGATGATTTTAACAATGCTAACAGTGATAAGACTCTGTTGTCCACTAACTGTCTAGCTATCTAAAGGAACCATATACAGTAGGATCCTCTGGACCTTCAGAAAATCTCCCCCTCTCCATTTCTGCAGATACTGGGATGTGAAAACTGGAGCTTGCGTACGAAACTTCTATGGTCACCAAGGAACAATCACTTGCCTGGATTTATATAAGAACAGGCTTGTATCTGGAGCAAAAGACGGACAGGTGAAAGGTGAGAAATCTGACTTAATTTTCTTTCTTCCTTCCCTCCCTTTCTTTTTTCCCCTCCTCTCCACCTTTGCACAGGGTCTCATGATATGTATAGCCTGGGCTGCTTTGAACTCGGGATCCTCCTATGGCAGCCTCCAGGGTTCTGGAATTTCAGGCACATCTACCCCACTCAGCTTGTACTTCACTCATTTCTATAACTAGTCCTTATATACTTGTCTATCTATTCATACATCTGTCCATCTATCCATCCAATAATACTTCAGAATCCCCTGCCTAGGGAATGGCACCACCCACAGTGGGTAGATCATCTCACCTTAATTAATGGAATTAAGATAATCCCCAAAAGACATGTTTGGAGGCCCCTCATCAAGGTGGTTCTAGATTTTGTCAGGTTGATAATTAATAATTAACACTACCATCACAACCACTGGGACAAAAAATTAGCCACAGAACTACAAAGAGAAGAAGTAGGGACTTGAATTGAAGACTGTCTGGCTCTCAGTCATGTGCTTCTAACCGCATGCAGTGTTCAAAAGAAACAGACATAAGAGTAAATTAGGAAAAGCTCCATCAGCAGGACGCCTCTTGGGTGTGATCTTAAGGATGAATAGTTCCATAGGCAGATAGTGGGAGATGCTCCAAGCAGAGTGAACAAGGACAGACAGACGCGTGTGAAGATGAAGCAGACTGTCCTGAGTACCTCCCATTGTCCGTTGTGGCTGGACTGCTGTGTGCGGTATTGGACAGTCTTCTAAGCTTGTATGGGGACCAGTTATAGAGAGCTTTCTGCATCACGATGCAAAACTGAACCTTAAAGCCACAGGTGTGTTTTCACCTGTGGACCCGACACAATCTGCACTGTAGACAAGAACTCAGATGAGTTTGGGAGACCCTGGAAGAGGGCGACTATGTGGAGATGGGGGACAAATGAAGACACCTTGCACCCTAGAAAACTGCCAGGGTGCCTTCAAAATACTTGAGAACCAATAAGCATGAGAAAACTTATGTGGATGTAGCTTCATATTCAATGGCCCAAGTGAGAGACTTCCAGAGGGGAAATGGCCAGGACTTTCTCATCAACTGAATCTAAAAAGAAGGCTATAAAAGCAAGTAATAACGCCATTAAAAAAAAAAAAAAACCCAGGCTGCCAGGCATCTAAAAATACAATTCATGGGAATACCAAAGACTTGTAGAGGGAGAAAAAAGTAAGGGGAAACAGAGAGGAGGTCATGGGTTCAGTTTTAGACATGTCAAGTATGGCAGGCAGGGCAATGCCCAAGCAAAACTGTTTACACCCTAACGCTTGGAGCTGGTGGTGATCCCCCTAGATGATATCTTTCTTTCTTTCTTTCTTTCTTTCTTTCTTTCTTTCCTTCCTTCCTTCCTTCCTTCCTTCCTTCCTTCCTTCCTTCCTTCCTTCCTTCCTTCC